TTAGAAAAACGTTCGTCTAAAGACGAGAGAGCCAAAGCACGACTATCGACAACAAAAAAAGAATGTTCGTGTCAGTAGTGAAATTATGAAGTGGAAAGTTTATTATTATTCGTTGTAAACCGGTATAGCGACTCTAAAATAATCATAAGCATTTATTTCTTAATTACAGTGATTATTATTCGAAAAACTAAATAACAGCGATTATTGATAATAATGATGACCTGTATATCAGCATTTTTAACGATTCTAAAATAATGCCTAGTTTTTTCAATAAGGAATAACATTTATCTGTCAATTTACCTATAACATTTCAAACGAAACATATGTTTCAAGTTTTTAGTCTAAATAAGTTTATGTGTGGTCAGTTTTCTGATATCTTAGCAACTACTGCCCTAATTCTACATATACATTTTTAGTTTACAAATTAATTGGTGTTTATATGTAATTCTATGACTGCATGTTATTTGAAAATGTCAAAAAAGGTATTTCACTGTATTTGCGAGCCTCTAAATTCTAAAGTACAATTATGAAGTATTAATATACGCATAGTATAAGTGTTATTCCTCTTCCAGAATAACTGAGCTGTATTCAAATTGATAGTACTGATTCTATTCGTGTTCCAGTATAATTTAGTTGTATTCGTAGAGATAGTAACGACTGTTATTATTCTTCCAGAACAACTGAGCCGTATTCAAATTGACAGTATTGATTCTATTCGTGTTCCAGTATAATTTAGTTGTATTCGTAGAGATAGTAACGACTGTTATTATTCTTCCAGAACAACCGAGCTGTATTTAAATTGATAGTACTGATTCTATTCGTGTTCCAGTATAATTTAGTTGTATTCGTAGAGATAGTAACGACTGTTATTATTCTTCCAGAATAACTGTTACTCTGCCTTTATCGTTGGTACATTCTTATTAGACACTATTAGATCTTCTCAGAATACTGTTCATATTTGAATATGTGCCTTCTTAGAAATCTATAATTTTATAGAAGACTATTGAAGACAGTGAAGAGTACATGGTCTAACATGGTTGAACAGTCTAAACTATCTTCCAGATATAAAAAATAACTTGTAACCTTATAATGTATAACCTTAAGTAACCTTATAACCTTAAGTAGATAACAACCTATTTCATTCACAGTTTTGTAACTTTATATTTTGTATTTATATGTACGCAAAACACTAGCAGTGACTTATATATAATGTATATCCGAAATTACTGTATTTTTATCGTGCTTATCGCTTATATATATAGTACAGTTTGTTCTGAAATGCTCCATTAAAATTATAACTGTTTTCATCAGCCCGGTTACGATATTTGCTGTTGCTCGAAGTTACTTTTTTGTCACCTACAATTGAATATATATATAAGAAACCGAAGTGGTTTCCCAAGTGTGACCCAAATATTAACATTTCTAAGAGCGACCTTGCTTTAATATGTTTGCAACTGTAAAGCATTCGTATTGTTCACAAAACCGAAAAAATAATTAAAAAGTTATATTATTTCAAGCAATCTGTAGTCGATGTTGTCCCTAAAGCCAGTTTTTAGATTTGAAAGTAAATCGATATTTCTTTTATTACAGCTTCCGAATATTCACGTGAAAAGACACCTTTTACATCTATATTTACTATATCACAGTAATGAAGAAAACAAAACCGGCAAATGCGGAATTCTCTCATAGAGTGAATAATAGGATCAAGTAAAAAGTTCAAAGACTGAACCAGCAGTAAGAATTAAACTTACGCTGAAAACAAAAAAAAAGAATGAAATACTAATAATTCAAATAAGGATGTAACTGTTGATAGTGTTACTAAGTGAACATAATCAAAAGTCCTTTTCTGGCACGCATTATACATAAGCAAATATAATCAATTCGTCAGATATTAGCTCTGGTCACTCTCTATCTCCTTGTTGATCACTCTTGAACTAGCTATACGTTTTTACTGTTAAAAATCGGTTTTTAAACAAAACATGTTTTGGAAACTGTTACCTAACACTAACAATCAGGATTGGATTGTTGAGACATGTTATGGAAGAAAATGTATCGCATTAATAATCCAAGGTTTTAGTGTGTATGTCAAGCAGATGCAGTCTATAAGATTGTTCAGTCTAATTATACCTACTTCCTAAAATAAACGTTTAAAGCAAGTTTGTTTGTTTTTCTTGTTGGTGTAGATTAATTAACATCATTTTTTGTAAATGTATATCTTATTTGGTTTTGAAGATCGATATTAGTGATATAATTTCACGTAAATACATTTCTAGTAAGTAGAAAGGTTTCTTTGTTTGTTATGGATTTCACGCAAAGCTACACGAGGGCTATCTGCGCTAGCCGTCCCTAAAACTAGAGGGAAGGCAGCTAGTCATCACCATCAGCTCTTGTACTACTCTTTTACCAACGAATAGTGGGATTGACCGTCACATTATAACGCCCACACGGCTGAAAGGGCGAGCATGTTTGGTGTGACGGGGATTCGAACCTGCGACCCATAGATTGCGAGTCGAGCGCCCTAACCACCTGGCCATGCCGAGCCAAGTAGAAATGTGGGATAAAAAAAGTTAGCTATGCATGGTTTGACTTTGGTGATATATTCATTTAGAGCAAGGAATTGTTTGAAGAGGTAAAAACTAAAATCGAACAGTTAGCAGAAACGTGAGTTCAAATTAAGAGTGACTTGTTTGACATTTTCGGAGAATTCTTTTCAGTTTTTTTTAAACCAGGTACAGACTAAAGATACTGATGTGTGTTTGAGACAGATAAAAACGAAATTTTTTGAAGAAAAAACTCATTTGACGCCTATAGTACATAATTATGTACCTATAAAATAATGTAGCTGATAAAAACTTCTTATGTACAGAACACGGATATTTTCTGGATAAAAAGTGTTTTTTTGTGACATTTGAGACGATTCAGCGAGTGTTTTATTTTACTTTGGTGGATCTAATATAGTTCATGAGTATAGACCACAAATATGTGGTACATCATTAAAGCAGATAGAGTCAGCAGAATTTACATTAAGCTTACATGAACTTTAAAATGCGGTGCCATATGCCCACAGCTCATCCAAACACACCTTTTTCCGTTTTACGAGTTTTTTCTTTGCAAAGTTTCGTATACTTTTTTCGTGCTTCTTCGTAACATACTCATAACCAGGTATGTTTGTTTGTTTTTGAATTTCGCGCAAAGCTACACGAGGGCTATCTGCGCTAGCCGTCCCTAATTTAGCAGTGTAAGACTAGAGGGAAGGCAGCTAGTCATCACCACCCACCGCCAACTCTCGGGCTAATCTTTTACCAACGAAAAGTGGGATTGACCGTCACATTATAACGCTCCCACGGCTGAAATGGCGAGCATGTTTGGTGTAGCGGGGATTCGAACCCGCGACCCTCAGATTACGAGTCGAGCGCCTTAATCACCTGGCCATGTCGGGCCAACCAGGTACGTACGTATATCCTCCTATGTTTTGGATTAGGCTTTTCCTACATCCAGATGTAGTGAGTAATTTCTCCACCAAACATAGAACAACTTTTGGAATAGTGAATTATAAATTTCTTCCGCAATTTGGAACAAAGAGGTCACATGATCGGATATTGTTGCACGACTTGGAAGAGATATCTTGGCACCCCAGGGTGTTGGTTTAAAGTAGGGTTGTTTTGTTCAATTAAGATGGATTCCATGATTTTACGTTTGCTTATGTTTGGTTCTTTGTTTAAAATTTTAATAGATATACTATGGTTTTTGAGTTGCAATGGTGGAAACATGGTACGGTTTTTATGTGTTCTGTGAA